TAAGGCAAGGGTGCTGGGCTTTCTTTCCCACTGCCAAAGCTGTTGCCATTGGCCAAGGGCTGGGAGGGACCTAGGGAACAAATTCTCAGGCACTCCTCACCTTCTGAGCCTGCAGGCGAAGCAGACTCAACAGAGCTTGAGGGTGGTGCCTGTGCTGTTGGACAGGAAGCAACCAGGCCAAAAGGACAAGGACCTAAAGATTCTGGGCAAAGCACCAACATCATCCCACATTTCTACATGGAGACTCATCAGAACCCCTTGAAATTAAAGTAACAGTCACTGGAGAGTCACATGATGACAGGAACAGAAGGTACAATTACTAAAAGCCAAGCATAGAGATAAGTAATAAAACTGGGCCTGTTGGGGAGGGTGGGGAGGAATCTGTACTTTTGCTTTAAAAAAGTAAAAATGCATTCGGTATCTAAAATACCATCAGCAGTTTTCCAAAGAACTATTTAACCCAAAATATCTCTTCATTGCCATCAAATTCTGCAAGTACTCACTGAAGTGCATGTTGAGGGGCTTCCCAATTATTTCTTTGGCAAAAAAAATGATTTAGTCATGTCCCTTTGAGGGTCTTTAAGGACCGTTGCAATTTTGCTACATCATTGAAAAAGCCAGGCATTACCCTAGTTCAGAAGTCACAGGGCCCTGTACCCAGTAGCTGCTCAAATATGCACAAATTGACAAATTCCCTGACTTAACCCAGTGTTACCAAGGCAAGCACCTATGGTCTCAGTTTCACTTAATGAACTTAAACCCAAGGGAATCACAGAGTCATTATGGAGTCCTTCATTTCCACACCTTTATAAACTTTGTGGTTAGCTCATAAGTGGGAAGACCAGGTGGGGGGGTAGCCTATGCATAGGCTACCCTTCCTGGTCCTGCCTGGCCACCATGAGCAATTTCTTTCATCACTCAGATATATTGTGGTCCAGATTGTATTTGTAGCAAATGTAGTTAAAATGTTAAAACTTTTTAGTTGATTCCCAATGTTGCTGCTTCAGAGTGTGCAGAATGCGAGGTACCTTGTTTTCCGGTCAAGGACACTTGTTTCCAATGCACTGTAGCAACAGAGCCCAGACTGGGATGAGCACCTGCAGCTTCCTGAATCTCCGTTTGATTATTAACATGTCTGACACTGACTTTGTGAGCTCCTCCTTCTAGTCTTCCGGGCCAAAATCCTTGGTGTTTTTCTTGCTTTCCCTCTTTCCCTCCATCCTTCATCCAATTCTTGAGCAAATCTCCTTTGCTCTACAATCTGACCACTTCTCCCCACCTCCCCAACCACCAACCCAGTTCAAGCCATCATACCCTCCTGCTTCGCTTTTTGCAAAAGCCATCTACCTGGGATGCTACCTTTGACCCCTATGTTATTTTTTTTTACGTCTGCCAAGGTGATCCTTACAAACTCCAAGTCACATCACTCCTCTGCCTAAACCCGCCTCTAACTTCCATCTCACTCAGAATAAAAACCAAAGTCCAAACCACCCACAAGGTCCCACAGAAGCTAGCCTTCCCACGACACCCTCTAACCCTGTCGCCTTCCGCAGATCTTTGCTCGATCACTCCCAGTCACATTGACCCTCAATGTGACTATCACATGGACCACAAGACATTGTCTAAAGTTCTTCCCATGACAGCCTTTTGTGGCCTTTCAACACTGGAACTCCAGAAACAATTAGAAGGATGTTCTCCAAAGCGACAGGAGGCCAGTCGTGTGCGACCGTAGTGTTTGCTTGGAACAGAAGTGGCCTCCCGGCACAGACTACTCCTGAGGTGAGGAGGTCAGACTGGCAGGCTGGGCTCTGCACACAGCTGGACCTGCTGCTGTTGAGTGCTGCCCAGCATCACCCATGGGTGGCAGGCTCAGCTGGTGACACTTGTCTTGTGCTGCCCTCCAAACCGGTGGCAATGAAAAACTGGAATAACGAAAACGACCTCAGACTAGTCTATTTCCTCCACTTTCTCCCACCTCCACAGCGGAGCTGGCTTGCATCCAGAGAGGTTACAGTCCTTTAAAGACCTGCCCCCAGTCATATGGAATCTTTGCTTGAGCTGTAGACTCCAGTCAACCTTCGCCTGGCTTGTCCTATACCTATCCTTAGTCGCCAGTGACAGAATTCAGCTTTGTCTCCTCTGTAGTCCTGAGACATTCAACTCTTCTTTCAAGCCTACACATCTAACACCTGAGTGGATGAGACACCCCCCTGTGGCTGAACCCAACCTGGAAAACAGGAGGAAAATCTGTGGCTACGGTGGCACCACCCCCATGCCACTGCATTTACCAAGCCACCACTACTTCTTCTGCTTCCTGGGAAGGAAGTTGGTTTAGGGGCTTTTCCCATGGCTTTATCTTCTTACGAATGTTTGAGCCTTCCTAGATTACAGCCTCCAGGAGAAACCTGTCGCAGGGCAAGAGGTTCCTACCATCACCTAGGCTCCTGGCAAGAGCTGTCCCCCCAACAGCTGCCATTAATGCCCTAGCCTCCGCTGGCCCAGGAACCTTGTCAATGACCCTTCTGCCATGGAGGCAAAGCCCAGTGTCTTTGGAAAACAGAGACAGGACTCAATCCCAGGGCCACCAGGAGGCAAAATTATCCAGGGTAAAACGGGTAACTGCACGACGGTTTATCCTGACTTCAGACCAGGCACACCCTGCATTGGGGAAAACGTGGCAAATGTGAAATGCGTTTGGAAATTAAAACAATCATTGATGGGAGCACTTGTAAAAATATGGTTATTCGGAGGCTCCTATTACAAAGAGAATAACTTTCATCTTTATAAATAGGGAGGTGCTGTGGCTAGCTAAAGGTGGCATGTAGCCCAAACTGTAGTGCAAAGATCCTACATCCCAAAGATCTAACAGAAAGAATGATCGAGTTGCAACAGCTGCTGCTGATGACCTAATGAGGTTGAATGCTGATGGCTTTTCCTTATTTAAGAGGAAAATCCATGGGACATTTTAAGAGATGATACATGCTACAAATACGTGTATACTTGGTACTTTTCCTGTTAGCTATAGACCATTTTCATGAAGAAAGTTCATGACCTTTCCTATGTTTTATTCTTATTACAATAAATATTAAAAGGGGTTTTTTCCTCCTATTTCCTCCTAATCACACAAGAAAAAACAATTCCAGAATTATTTTTTTAACTGCTAAAGGAGTATAAATAAATGAAGATTCCAGAATAATTTTCCAGAATAGTTTCAGAGTTGAAAATTCGGTTCCAAGCAGATGACTTTTTTGTTTTGTTTTGTTTTGCAATTTTGGGACTGAAGCCCAAAGCTATTAATATTGCTACGTGGTTCTGGCCTCGGCTGTTGTAAATGTAAATAGGATTCCTGGTGTCTGAGTCCTCTGGCTTCTCCCCTCTGTGCACCGACCTCTGAAGGAGCAGTTGCTCCTTCCTTGGCTCCCAGCCGTTAACCCTCAACAAGGACCTGGTGCTGTGGGATGGAGCACTGCTGTTCAAGGGGAACTGTGTGTAAGACGATATATATACATCTGCTTGCCAAGAGTTGGGGGACTAGGAAACACACAATTCAGGGCAACTAGAGAATGATACAAAATACGGTGACAGGTTGTAAGATAGTTGTCTTCCTTTCACGGAGTCAGCCCCTGGCACAGCCACGAGAATGACCACGGCTGCATCTAAATAACAGAGCTGGGAGCCTGACTCCCAGTCCACACTCCTGGCCTCTTGTCCCTCCACCTGGGTCCCACACAGGAGCATAACAGAAGAGAGAGTCTCCACGCACATTTAATCTGGGAACAGGCGCTTTCAGCAAAGTGGCCTGTGGGGGCGTCCTTTGAGGCAGCCCTGAAAAACTCATCTGCCTGCAAAGATAGTGTTTCCCTGGAGGACGTGTCTCAAGATAGCAGCCACAGGGGAGCAAATTCATGAGCGGGCAAATACTTATCCCCTCTTGTGACTGAACTTATGCCACTGCTTTCACAGGACTATTAATACATGGCAGC